ACGCATTGGAATGGCAAATAAGCAGCAATAAACGTAAGTTGTCCAAATTTTTTTCTTAACAGAAACTTCCATAGTTTCACAAGCTTTGGTTTCAAATGAAGAAAGAATTTTATGATTGATTCGTCTATGAACAATGATGGCAACGGCACCACAGGGTCCATCAAAACGATCATTTCTATAAATGAAATAATTTGCGTCCCTTTTAACCTTATGGTCCCTTTTCACCTTATACCCCGTTCACATTACAGCCTATATCACGTAATATAGGCTGTCTTGCAATGAGCACTCATACATAGGATTTCCAGTGAAAACTAGATGTATGAGTGCTCATTGCAAGACAGCTACATCACGTGATATACGCTGTAATGTGAACGGGGTATTATGGAACGTTCCACTTATAACGGAAATATGCACGTTATGAACTCTCAAAAAGTTAAATAGCTCGTCCTCATTATCTTTAAGAGATCGAGCATTCCAATTTAAAATATTGAATGATTTAAACTCCATTGCTGAATTTCAAAGTTCAATGACAATATTGTTCGTAAATTTTACTCCGGTTTGAATAGCATCAAACATGGAGTTAGTTTTTAACATATCAGTAATCATGTCAATTAATGATTTCTGTAAAAAATCCATTTCAGAAGCAGTAATGCTTCCTGGTTAAAAATCTATATTTTTAGTGAATACATACATAGAAGAACTATTTCCAAAGCGAATGATACACCAAGGACTAACATCAGCCTATAATCAACTGAGATATGTCCATTTCCCTTTCAAAGGGGCCTCCCTTAGCTCAGTCGGTAAAGGCGCAGCTACAAAGCAAGACCATGCTGGAGGTGGCTGGGTTCAATTCCCGGTCCGGTCTAGGAATTTTTCGGGTTGGAAAATTTCTCGACTTCCCTGGGCATAGAAGTATGATTGGACTTGCCACACAATTATACCAATGCAAAATGGTACAGGCATCGAAAGCTCTCAATTAATAACTGTGGAAATGCATCTAGAACACTAAGCTGAGAGCACGCAATAAGCTAATATGCGATATGCAATAAGCTTGAAATGCGAAGAAGAAGAAGAAGAATGTCCATTTCCCTGGAATTGGTTCTGATGGAGGGCAAGCTTGGCATACACAGCCTATTCATGAAAAAGCATGAAGACAGAGCTGTCGCACGGCATGTTTTGAGCGATTAAAAGATCTGACCGCATTTAAAACCCTCCAACGGGAATAAAGCATGGTCCACTTAGTAATCGAAGAACATCATTTGGATCTATTTAGGATTTGAATTAAGGGATTTGAAAACGGTTTTCACTCAAGTGAATACTATTCCTTATATTTTAAGAAAAGAATACGAAACGAATTATTCATAGCGGTCTCGAAGGAATTCTCGAACTTTTGCCGTAATACGACCCATCGAGCGGCGCACAACGGTCTCGTCTACTGTTTTGGCGATTTTATTGCACCAATTTTCCATCTGAGTTGCCGTTTGGATGACTGTACCTTTTACCTTCAGTTTCCTCTTCATAATTGCCCAGTAGTTTTCAATGGGCCTCAATTGGGCGGATTCCGTTGTCACTGTACCATTGTTGTATTTCCCGACTGTAGTGACAACTCGCAATATCCGACCAAAATGTCACCGGACCATCATTTGACTGGATGAAGGGTAGAATTCGCTTCTGGGGACATTCGGTTTTGTAAGCCTCCGAGTTTGTTATTTTCTCAGTGACGAAAACCTTTGTCTTCTAACCGCAGCTGTAAATTCCCTGCTAGACCTTTACATAGGTTTCATCATCCATAAGTATGCACCCACCGGACTTGATCAGCAGGTTGTCATACAGCTTTCGAGCATGTGTTCTAGCTAGAATATCGTGCTTGAGTGATCGATTTGGTAGCGAATTCGCTGCACTGTACTACGGGCGGCATCATAATACTTTTTACTCAAATCGCGATCGGATTTACCTGGGTTGCTTCTGTTGGACCTCACAACCTCTCCATGGAGCTGACGGTTGACAGTTCCAATCCCGCGTTTCCTTTGAGACTTCCGATTCGCCGTCAAGGTTTCCTGTACGTTTTGAGCACGTGCCATTCGGTGTTTCTAGGGAAATTCAACACTTTAGGCATCTTGGACGCGGACCACGAGGGATTTTCCATGTGACTGTGCACGTTTTTTTTCTACGCTCCTCTCGCGTGGTGACTGTCTCCCAAACCTGAGCGTTTTATGAACTGAAAAATTACACTGTTATTGTTATTGTTGTTGTTGTCAACAAATAGACGTCAAAGGCTTCTGAAAAGGTCTATTCATGAAAAATATATGGAGAATAGGCTGTCGCACGGCATGCTGTGGTGTAACATGTTGAATGAAAGGCACAAAACTCGAGTTCATTTTAGAGCTTCGAAAATGTAGAACCCTGGACTTCCCACGTAATCACGAAGGGGGGTTTATATCAGCCGTACATCCGATTTATATTGCCGGGTGTGTTGGTTACTTGGGTTATCTGTTTCACATCCTGAGTCAACCGATAAAATTTTCCGACGGCAGTAACTTCCTATATGGATACTAGACTGATGCAAAATGTCTAAATTGTGTTCTGATTAGCCTACCAAAATTTTTACTCATTTATTAATAAACTGCCTTGGCACAAACCTTATGAAGTTTATATGGAAATTACTATTGCAAAACTAATTTTTTTGATCATATCTATATAAAAGTTCACCATTTCACTCTGCTTTTAAAAATGATAGCTATGCTTGTAGGAAACTTTCTCAGCTACAACGTTGCCAAAGACCACTTTTCGATCAAATGTAAGGAACATAAGTTATAAATGCTTCAAGTCACTGATGTCTTATGATTATGCTCAATCAACTCTTCAACAGGCAACATTGGTCTTTCTGGCGCGTAGAATAGGGCGCAAAAATCATGGCTACTATGTCACACTGCAGAATGCAGTGTTGCCCACAAAACAGTTGCTTGGTCATGCTATAAGATTATCAATCTCTTAAACAATTAATAACTATTTAATTTGACGTTTGGCTGAAAAACGAAATTGTAAAAAGTTGTAGCTGATAACATTCACCATAACAATAAATATAGAACTTTTTAACAGTGCAATATGGAAAAATCTTAGATGACAATCAGCAAAAAGTTTGGTTTTTCCATAGTAATTTCCATACAAACTTCAAATGGTTTGTTTATGCCAAATCAGCTTCTTACCAAATGAGTTTAAATTTTGGGTTGCTAATCAGGACCCAATTTGAAACCGTTCGAGTACTATGAAGCGAACATTTCAAATTTTGCATCAGTCTAATGGATACCTATTCATAATAATAAATAGCTGTGCCTATATGAGGTGATATATTTTTATGCACTGAGTTAAAACCCAGAACGGACAAAAGTATATTATCTCGCCGTTTTCCTCACATGGTGAAAAACAAAGAAGCTGTTGAAAGATTTTTCAAAATGAATGAATTTTTTCTAAACAAAAAGCATATAAAAGGTCCATGTTTTAACTACAAATGAAGAAAATTCTAACTTCTCAAGTTAATTGTATTTTTTTAAATTTCAGTTTCAAAAAAGATACTCCAAAAAGAGGTGTATTTATAAAACTGCTGAAACTTCCTACAGGTTCTGCCGATCTGCTCAAAATGATACCGATAAGTCTTGATCAACTAACAGTCAAGATTTCAGACAATTTAATAAACATCCTGAAAAGTTACAGTTTTTTACATTCTTTTTAAGTGAAAAAAAATCACTTTTGCCCGGTACTGGACGATTTATTTGTCGGTATCTATGTACGTATATCATCAAACCAGCGTTGATATACATACATTCCGGTGAATTAGGAGGTCAATCCGGTCGTGACATTTTCATGTGATATAGGCAATACACACGGAAAAAGAACTCCACAAATCGAAAATCCGGAATCAACATGTTTACATTACCTTCGATCGAAACCCTGGCAAAAACATCACGTTCACGAGATTCCTACCCCAGCACGGCCGACCGGCCGGCCAATCGATGCTGATGATACGCATTAATCCAAATAAACATCGGAGCCGCGGTGGTAAACAAATCCGCCTTCGTCGTTGATATGGTACGCTTTTAGAAGTCTATAAAAACACCTCACTTTCATTGGCGTTGCTGCGGGTCCTATTCTACACGCAAACACTAATCAGGTGATAGATTAATTTGGACTGCCTCTGAACATTCTGCTCTCAGAACCCCCCCTTAGCCACCGACTTTACTGATAGACGCACTATTGCTCTGTCGCGGCAATGACACAGATACTTCTCATAAGTCGCCGACTAAAATACCTCTAAATTACAGACTACAGACGGTTTGCCGGTTCTAAAATAAAAATATTTTCTCTACAAGAATAAACATACAACCATTCGCTGCTTTTGTTCTTCGGATTTTTGTTTTCTGTGAATGGTTGGTAGCAGGGTCCAAAAATAAATTTTGTGAAAGATGTCTTACTATGACGCGCATTCATACGGTTTTCCCATATCCCTTATCGGATTGAAACGCAATGGAATTCAATGATCTGCAAAATCTTCTCGACGAATTAATTTGTAAAATTTCGCATGTTTATATCCCGTCTCAACGAGCGCTGCCGCACCATTCGCTGAGTGTCCTATTTTTAGAAAGAAGAATAATTTACATAACGAAAGCGATATTTAAACAAATATCGGTGTCTGTCGGGAAAAAAAATAAAGAAAATCGCCACATCTCCGCTCATGGCTCATCCCGTTTGCTCTCAAGAGGTGATTCTTGAGTGGGGTCGATGTGGCTCTGACTCAATCGAAGAAAATTTCCCGAACAACCACCCTTGCCTGTTTTTTTTTGAGACATTATAAGAAGTAATCATCACACCATCTCGGAACGAAATTCTTGACCACCACCAGCTGTGACTTGCATCGAGATACCAAAAAAAATGAACATGTGTGATTTACAATTTTTTGTGTTTTGTGTTTTTTCTCTTTCTCTCTCTACTCAATCCCATTCCAGCCATACCGTACTACACCGCTAGTCCTTCCCGGTGCCAAGGTACCGAAAAAGGATGCTCTACCAACAGAATCCTACCTCAGACACCACCCCAATCCAGCAATGCGCGCACCTCCAGTACATGACTTCACAGATTCACTGTTGAGACAGAAGGTAATCTTCTATAGAGAAAAAAACGACCTTGATCCAATCACAATCCAGAACCGGAACAAATAATTTCAAATTGTTTTCTTCGAATCTTTTCTGAATTTTTACACACACACACATACACTCTCGTAATCCAAACCAACCATTGCTATTGTTCGACGACTCTGCAAACCGCAAACACTTCAAATCTAGGCCGCCGAGACTATTATTCATCGTGTCGTAGGAGAAGAAATACCCAGCGGTCCAAAGGTTTATTCCGATCGTTCCCGACTCGCAATGTCGATTGGTTGCGTGTTGTTTTGAATTTTGTTTACTTTTCTGCACAACAATTTCCTTCCTGTACTCTATAATCTCAATGCTTTCTTTACCTTGAAAAAAAAAATCAAAGACCCAACGACTATACAATACAGTCAATGCCGATCCACCGTACTACCGGCGTGGATGTCTCCCGTTCGATCGCTACAAACCCACAACATGTACTCTTCCACTTGCGTTCTTTTTTCATGCTTTCAGATTACACAAAATCCATACGCTATATAGTTCATGTTTGTTTCTAATGTTTTCCGAAAGAAAAGCCGTGTTTGTTTACTTTTTGTGTTGAACTTAATTTGTCTTTCGCTGTATATTCTACATTTGCCAAGTTTAACGTTTGTTTTCGTACTTTTGGCCTTTGGTACGTTTCAAATGGACGAATAAAAAAAAAGAACAACAATTCAACAAAGTTACATTTCAACTGACCTGATTTTCAATATTTTTTTCCGTTTTACCTCTTCCGATGAAATAAAAACCAAAACGCACCCACCGGATCCAGATTGTCCACAAGCAGTTCAACTCACCGATCGGATTGTACTCGGATAGCAACATTGAGCACACCGTCAGAGCAGCTGCCCCACAGCCCCAAGCCGTGCCGTAAGTTATCGTTTTATGAAAAAAATATCTTTAACCACACACCAAATACGATACTCAATCTGGAAAAAGTTGATCAAATTCAAGAAAAAGTGTACTGAAAACGAGAGCAACGAAATAGGAAAATACAAGAAGTGTTGTGATCGGCCATGTATAATGTGAAGGAGCAGTTCCACGCCAAATGACGAATCGGAAAAAACGCGACCTACTCCGAATTGCATAAAACTTTGCATAATTGTGTGTTATGAGCAGTGATGTGCACTGTCATAACGGTTATTGTACCTTGACGGTCATCCTCGCATAACCGTCACATATCAAAAATGGCGGTCAACTAGCATATCACTTGGAAACATCTCTACTTCACTAAACCGTCTGCATAAAAGCCATCCATGACAGTTAGATTAATTGACAAGGAGAGAGTAGCAAACTCATTCACTCACTGATCATCTCTGTTGGGCATTTATAAGAGGGAAGTGAGAATAATGCTCGCTTATTTTCCTGTTCTTGCTGAAAGTTGTTAAGTTCAGAACATACGAAACATTTTGAAGAAAACGTTCGATTTTCATTTTCCGTGTAACAAATAAATAAGTGGGAGTTGTTACGTTACAATGTAGAAAAATACCCGTTTATCTTAAAAAATGCCATTTCTTAACATGCAAATTAAAGCCACTTTCATTTTTATGTTCCATCAGCAATATCAATTCTCTTCTACGTACGCGTCATTGTGTACGATGCTTATTAAATCTCAAAACTGACACAACTCACAATTGACAAGCCTACGAGAATTTTACTGTCAAAACAAATATATTTTCAACGTGGTTACGTTTCGTGCAAAAAGTGAAGTGAAAAGTCTTAAATTTTTGAATTGCTCCGAAAAATGGCAAGGACCATCATGGAACCAACAGCTGGAGCCTTCAACAAAATCAATGCGAAACCGAACTTTTTGTCAGTACGAACCTCAACCTGAGCTGGGTTTTAAAAGCAAATGAACAAACTAATGTATGTCAAAAAACAAGCAGATCCAATCTTGATACCCGATCCAGGTTGGAACAGAATAATAAACGGATTCGCTATTAATTTTAGCGAATATTTATTGAAATACAATGCGTTTCCTTACGGACTTCAAAGTAACGATTTGAAGTTTTCTTTGTTGATGGATACCAACGGTTGCTTTGATTGTTGAAACCTCAAGTGAAGAAACTGTGTATTTATAATGCACCGTGCAATAATTCAAGACCAACAATTGCAAAGGCCTCAACTCCATTTTGTAAACAAACCTTGTAACGCTAATTTGTCGCGAACCGACGTCCACCAACGCAAACCAACAAAATTAACAGATAAGAGAAATTATCCTTTTCCCGATTGTGTTTTAGCGAAGACTACAAATCAAGAAGACTGGCAACTCTTCCAAAAATCAGGAGACAGTAACGGCAACGACTCTTTTGAGCAAAAGTGGAACCTGTGTATGATGGTGTGTGTGTTAATTCACGAGTGCATTCACACACATAGGTAGAAATAATTAGCTGTCAATTATTGGTTTTGTTACGATTATCGTAAAAAGTGAAACGTTTCTTTCTTTGCTTTATGCTGACAACGAGTTAAAAATCCAGCTGAAATTGAAATTAAATAAATTTGTTTTGAAAATTAAAACTATGGCAATGATGCCATTCACAATGATGGTGGGACCTTCCTCGATCATTAATTTGCTATCTCACAATTATCTTCCACTTTTCCTAAGCCCTTTAATGCATTTATGGGCATTCGTATGGTGCATTAGTAAAATGCATGCCCGTTCTGCATGGCTTTGGCACCTGGCCACAACGCACACTGGGCAAAAATTGACAAAACCGCGACTAAATTGAATATATCGGCTGCCAAACGGTTTCAGTCAACATGTTATACATATTCTCAAAGGAAAAATTCTGCTGAATCGATTGGCGGTGGTCTCGTTGGAGACTTTTGCGTACGGAGATAGAGGGCCGGGATCAACCCGGATTCCCGGTAAAGTAGGAAATGCCACTATCTATCGACATAATTTTACACTTTACTTAACGTATATTACTGAAATTTGATAGTACTAAGTATATATGGTGTAAAGACACCAAATACGCCCTCAGATAAACTCAACTGGCCTAAAGGAGGATCCGGAACGACCGATAAAGTGGCCACATTATAAAAATGACCCTAGAGCCAACGGGGGGAGTTAAGTTGTGACGCTCGGCAACTTGGCACAGTACTCGCTGACCATTTGAATGTCACTGACCAATCCGACACTGTTGTTATCATTCTCTGGAAGGGGTTGGTCGATTCCAAGAATTTTTAAAGCATACAGAGGATCACTATACGGTGGTTTCATGTTCTGACAACATCTAAAATGGAAATATGTTCCGTTTGAGATTGTAGTCCTTCAATCTTTCATTTTCATTTTCTCCCACATTAGATCCTGCTACGCCTTCCGTTGGATCGTGATGTAGGTCTAGATGTAGGTACCGGATCTTTATTAATTTTGAATCCTTGAATTTTCAGCAGCTTTCGAATGACGGTAGTTCACTCAACGGAGGTGGAAGCCGCCAATTCCTTATATTTGATTGCTTTCTACAGGCAAAGTAAACAATATTTCGGTTCATCGTACACAAGTAAAAGTTACTTTCACTAGGTATCGATCCGAGTTTCAATCCTCTATTTGATCCACCATGACAAATTTTTCGGTTTGGAGTTGGAAAACCACCGGCTTGTTGTGATTAGGATACAAATTGCCGTGAAATTTTGTAGGGCAAAACAAAAACAACAACGAGTACCGTGTTATGATTATTCGTTTCGGTGACATTAGGTCACACACACAGTCACTGTTAATGAGCAGTCTCACTAACACTTGTGCTTCAAAGTTCCACCTTTGATTGTCAGAGGTGCTGTTATCAGTGACGTTCGACATTTGTATGGGAGAAGGGAACAGTTGTCAGTCTTCTAGATTTGTAGTCTTCGGTTTTAGGTTTGTGAATGTAAGTTTCGTTTCGCGAGAAAATGGCAATGTTTGTTTACAAAATGGAATTGAAGCTTTTTCAATTGTTGGTCTTAAATTGTGGAAGCATTAAAGAGGGATGGGGTGCTTGCTATTTTCTAACGATATCTTTACTAAAGAGGGACATATCAGGCGTAACATTTAATAACGGCACAAAAACTTTTGTAAACAAAAGTTATAAGGCCCTTTACACGCGAACCGAAAGATGTTAGTGGTATTGCGAATGAGTGAGAAAAGCAAAACAACGATATCTCACGGTTTTGGGGGCGACCCCGGCGTAGGGGTTAACATCCATACCTCTCACGCCAAAGTCACGAGTTCAAATCTCACCCCCGGACAAGTCACGAATGACCCAAGAGTGTTAAAGTGACTATAACAATAATAAAAAAAAAATATCTCACGGTTGTTGCGTCATCCTGGTGAGAAGTTTTACGGAGAGAGGGTTCTCAGTTGTTTTGATTGTTACCCGTAGGAATCTCTTTTGTCAATCTAAAGCGGCCAGTACCGCGATGCACTGGTTATGAGCAATCATTCCCATTTTGGATCTTCTTTTTTTCCAAAATGGCGTCTTTGAACATTTTCAATAAATTGTAGCACGGAAACGACACGCAATGACGTCTGAGAAAAAGTTATAGGGAAAAATGAAATCTTGCTGAAAAAAATTATACACGATATTAATTTGGAAATTTGAGTAAAAATTCAAAACAGTACATTTTAAAAAAGTAGGGGAAATGGCTCTAATGTTGGCCTATGGGTCTAATATTGGGCCCATCGCTAAAAAGCTTCTATTTATCAATTTTATCTAGATGAACGCGTCATTGGGACGGTACTAATGGATATTTTTGGTCGCTATTGAAAATTTAGTCGTTTGCTGAATTTATGTATGGGCCCAAATTAGGGGCACTTAGACCGACATTACATCCATTTCCCCTATATCTTCATTTTTTTTTAATTTATTAAAAAATAAAAGCTCACAAAAAATGCAAACTTTTGTAATATGTAAACCATGGACACTTGCAAATTTACAAAAATCGTAGAACAAGAATTTTTGGTAAATTAATTGAACTTTTTGCTAGTTGGTTTTATTATGTATATAAAAATAGTATATAATATAAAAATTTAAAATTTACTTTCTAAGATATTTCAGTATTCATAACTTTTTTTGAAATTTTTACTAAAAATTACAAAAAAAAAATTACCGTGTATATTTTTCCCAGATAGACTTTTCTCAACAACTTTGTCTCAGACTAAATTTCGATCAATTTTCGTGCTACAATTAATTGAAAAATCAGTGTCAACATTTCAAGAGGCGTGATTGCTTTTGTAAACAATGGCTTCAGACTTCGATTTATCGCAAATAAACGCTCACCCCTCCAAGTTAACAATGCTAGCTAGTAGAGGAAACATTCCTCTACCTGTTGATGTCATTAATTTTTATGAGTGAGCTTTTATTCGCAAGGAATCGATAGCTTAAGCCATTGTTTACAAATGCAATTACGCCCCTTTAGAATGTTGGCTTTGAAATGTCAAAGACGCCAATTTGAAGGAAAAAAAATGCAAGATCCAAAATGGCAGACTTTTAGTAAAAATGTGGATGATGATTGTTGTTGTTTCTTTATTAAGAAGACTTTCAGCTCAAGACTGGTTCGTCTCCGACTGTGAATGATGGCCCCTAACAAACAATTATGCATAGTGCAAATCGGAGAAGTTCGAGTCAAAAATTATGTTTTTTTTATTGTATTTGGCTTGGAATTGCTCGAATGTGAAGAGAAATGCGCAATGAAGAGGGAGGGTGATTTGAGCTGGCTAAGAAAGGCCGAGATCTCAATTGTTTTCTTTGCTAAATAGGTACGAGAATATTGATATTATTGAAGCCTACGGATTTTTTTTTCAAAGGCCATCTAGAATGTTTCTCAGAGTTCCAGAGCTGGAGACCTTTCTAAAGTCAGAATAATTTTATTTCTTCAACTTAGGAGTTGCTTTCTACTCAAAAAATGTTTCATAAGCCCCGCCCCAATAAGAGAAAAGCCTGGAAATCCTGTTAGGGACCGGGCATATGAAGTATTTTTGGTGTAGGGTATGCATAAAAGGAGGGACTTTCAGTTGGAATCTAAAAGCATAATAACGGTAACGTCCGGTTTTTCAGCGCTAGACTGAAATTTAATTCTGAAATCTGTGAAAGGGAAAACAACAGAAACGCCTCGTTTTCTCATGTAAATATGGATGCGCGTTAGACTGATGTAAAATTTTAAATTTTAGCTCCATGGTGCTCAAACGGTGCCAAATTGAGTCCTGATTAGCCTCCCTAAAATTGAACTAATTAATAAAAAAAACTGACTTGGCACAAACCTGAAGACCCCCTTTCGAGTAAATGTAGGAAACAAAAGTTATTAAGTATTCAAGTCACTAATGTCTTATGATTATGCTCAATCAACTGTTCAGCAGGTAACATCGATATTTTTGGCGCGTAGAATATAACACAACAATCATGGCACAATACAGTGTTGCCCACAAAACAGCTGCTTGATCATGCCATAAGATTGGTAAATCTCTTAAACAATCAATAACTATTTAATTTTACGTAGGGTAGAGCGCTACTTCGTCGTAATCGCCCATTTCCGTTCTATTGATCAGAAAAGATCAATAATATCAATGATTTCACCGTGCTTTAATCAATAATAGGTTTGTTCCGATGCGTTAATTCATTAGCTACAACATAAATCCTGTTAGAGTGCATTGTATGAATATTTACGCTCATTGTTCTCAAAACAAAAGAAGGGCTCCTAGCGAATTCTCTTTTTCTACGTTTATCCGTAGGACGAAGAAAATCTAATGGCGTTTCAATGCGTTAGGACGGAATTGAAACTCGTAGAACGAATTTAGAATCAAGAAGCAGTGTTAGATTTTAGACAATATCTCAACAATTTGTGACTCTTTATCAAATCCAACGGTACGTATGGAAAGGTGAATACATTTGCAAGTCATCTTTGACAGAAATATTTCATTTTTTGTTTAAACTCGTTCAGAAAAGAGAGGTAAAGCGCGGGTTGTGCTTAGTAGGACGGAAATTAGATCAAAAACCCTATGGCTATAAAAACGTTCTGGTCGTTAGTTTTCCGATCATATCACAAAAACGGTAAAAGATACCACACTGAAATTTCACCAGTGAAAGATAAGAGGTTTTCAAAAAATCAATACACTGAACACGAATTTTACTCAGAGAGTAAGTCACTTTTAATCATTCGTATGGATAAATTTCTAAAAGCGTAGTCTTCTCATACACTGAGTGACCTACGCTTTTATAAAATTCTCCAAACGAATGAGTAAAAGTGACTCACAACTGAGTGAAAGTGACTCACTCTCTGAGTTATTTTCTATTTCGTGTGGAAAGTTTTTTTTTCCTGCAAAACTGCCCATCTTGGGATGTATGAACGGCTTGTGTATAATTAGTATGTCTAGTTGGAAAAGTGATCCAAAAGCGGCACGCTTAGATTATTTTACAGGAGTCAGTATTTTTATACTGGGTTTTTATTTTTAATTGATGAAAATTTCAGTTACAATTCTAATGACCGTTATCCGTAAAGAATCAATTAAATAGACAAATTTTATTTTTTATCATTAAATGGGGTAAACAGAACTAACTCTGTACAAGTTCGGCTTAGATTTTCTATTTTTTTTAATTTTCCACAGATTTTTAATCTTTTACCGAACAGTTTCGCAATTAAAAAATCCAGTAAAACCTTACTGACTGGATTACTGTGTGTATGTTATGCATAATGGATGCACTGAACTACGCTAGTATTACAAATATGAATACAACTGATAAAAGCTGATTGACTGCCGTTATTTAATTTTAGTGCTATGACTTATACATTCTAGGAATTACTTGAGAAGAACAATGTAGTTTATTTTCGGAACATATTTACTATCTAGATAAAACAAAGAACTGAAAACAACCTTATCCTAGCTTTAAAACCTATGTGTTTCATCACTATGAACTTATGATTGACGGGTCTAAATTTGTCCAACGGTGAAAAAAAAAGGTATTTTTAAGTGGGCTAAAATAGATATACCAAACGGAACGCGGAAGAAATGTAAGAACAGAGATATTTCAAGGTTCAGAATCTATTAATAAAATACGAATTCCTGTTTGAAGGGTTGTGAAACTTCGTTGCGAAATTAATGTTGAGGTAACAACAGGGGCGATGACTTCCAAGATTGAGTGTAATCTTCAACAAACGACATAATTGAGTATAGGAATGATTGATATCAACATTTTCTTCACCGAAATGTGCAAAATTGTTTGTATTAAGATGTAAAAATATCACACCAATTTGATCAACTTTTCCAGACTTGAACGGGCGAAAAACCTTATTTTGTTAGAAAATATACTCGCAGACAAAATACCGTTTTCCGCGCAAAACACAACCAAGAAACCCCCGATAAACCTTTCCATAGAACTCATATCTAAAATTTATAAATTTTTGTATACAACACAATCAGATCAAACGGATTCACAAGCCGCCATCGGCCCACCAAAATCGAAGGGTAAATCAGAAAGCAAAATATAAAAAAAAAACATCACGTAGTAGAATTTAGCGAGACGCTAGCACTGCCTTTTTAAACGCTGACGATTTACTTAACTTCTAATTCATGAGTTTTCATTTCCTTTGAACTGGCAATTATTACTTTAATTTAGTGGAAGTTTATGTGGCTGGCAACTATAGACAAACGCTTTCCTCGTTTACAAACTTCAAAAACAAATCGACATCTAACAATGCAAACATTCTACCCAGAACAGACCAGAAACTGATTGACTTGAGATTTATTCTGAAATGAATCGTTTAGAATTCTTTTCGCATCCCAAATCAGTACACCGAAAGAGACACATGTACATGTACACATCCAGGCAAAATCACATCACCACTTTTCCAAATTACAACAGGAAAAAGGCTTTCAATGTCGTAACATATCAATGTCAAAAGCTACAGTAAAACAAAATGATATTGCAAAAATTTATAAACCTACCCTACTCATAAAAACAGACAAACAAAAAAGCCAAAACCATCCCACCGCAAAGCGATCATTGCTGCACTGTTAATATTAGAATTTTCATTGATCTTTCTTTCCTGAAACAAAAACAAAAAATTCTGGAGGACCAACGGCGCCAAGATCAGGAAACGCAACTCAAGAACAAATATCCCTTCCAATCGTACGCGTCATCGTCATCGCTTCACTCATCCGGTCACTCATCGCAATCGCCATACTCTGCTCACCAGCAGCAACCACAAGCGAGACAGCAAACGCTAAGTCCGCCACCGATTCCGCCACTACCGGGCGATTACTACTGCCAATCGCAGCCGGATGATCCGCGCCACCAGCACTACTAATCCGATTCCGGGAGTCATATTTGCGAGTTTCGCTACTCTCATTCACCTTTCATTTCTCACACCTAGCTGCTCTCTGCTGCTTCCACTAATCTACCGCTTATGTCTATTTCTATCCTTCCGATTGATTCAAATCACCAGTGCTGTTGATTCACAATGAACATCACCTTCGCTCAACGCCGAAACACCACGACCACCACCAAACTACCTACACTACTACTTGAACCCCTCCTGTCACACGCCTGCGAAAAGAACCAATGGAGAGAGACTGCACTGGCAACACTGAATACGTAACGCACAGACACGCTTGAATGCTTCCCTGTGTGGAGAAACGGACCAGAACTCCGATGAGATGACCCAAATGCTGAGACGAGAATATACATATCAACTTTTTTTTAGTGCTATGACAGTTTTGTGAATTAGTTGAAAAATATTACCACGGACTGATTTACATCGCATAAATTAGTTTTTAATAGATAAATGTGTGTGAGCTTAAATGATATTTTTTTTTGTTTTGATTTTTATTGATGTATTGTGTTTGTTGTTGAATGTTTAATGTTGAACCCACGTACCTTATACGATATTTCTTGAAGCTATGGAGAGATTTCTAGGACTGCGCTGGTTTATCCTAAGTTAATCTTGGAGATGACGAATCTGAAAACGGTAACTTAATATAACATTGATCGAATAGACAATTAGCCGAAGGCAAAATATTGTAGAGAATTTTTAAGAATATGTTCAGTGAATTAGTATTCTTCAGCTAGATTTATTAGAAGAAACTTATATGAATCGGACTCATATTTGATTCCCGTTCCCTCAAATTTGCCAACGCGTAGGTAGTAAATGTTGTGTCAATTACTCATATATGAGTGACATTTGATATTTGAGAAAAAAATTACTCATTCTATGAGTGACCTACGTTTTTAGAAATTTGAGTGACTTAATTTGCCGTGTAGGGCCAATTTGAAAGACTTCCAAGGCTGCTTGCTTCAACGTTAACATGATTTCAGTCGGCTTTCTTGATTTCCTCATTGAGGCTCCGTTCCCAAGGGCCCCTAGGTCTGCCTCTGTTGCGAAGTCCTACTGGGTTCCAATCCATGACTTGCTTGCTGATTACAATTCCACCCCTTGGCAGTGTGTGGACGAACCACTTCCGTTCGCGGGTTTCTGTTGATATCGACTTCTGATAACAGTTGGAGGCGAACCAGCCCAAGGCTGAAAGCCTCCCTAATAAAGATAAATAATAATAATTCTGATAACATCGACGATGGAGATCAATTTCTGGTTCAACAATAGAAAAGGGCCTATCAGCATTTGTAAACAAACCGTTCTAATGCCCTTTCCTCCCAAAGCGATGGCGGCCCACGCAAACCAGCACCATCATCAGATAGGGGAAAGTTTCCCCTACACGATGATGGTGTTAGTTTGCGTGGGAGGCCTTCGCTTTATGAGGAAAGGGCTTTAGAGCGGTTTGTTTACAAATGCTGATGGATCGTTTTCTATTGTTGATCCAAATTTGTGAGGCCACCAAGCGCGAATTAGATATCACAGGCATAGGTTTAATCAAGACCTGAGTGAGTTCTACTGATATGCATCATGTTTCGTTGACGTATAACAGAACAGATTTTACGTTGGAATCAAAAATCAGGATTTTGACTAATCTGATATGATCTTTCAGATATTTCGTAAGCTCGTAAAGGAAGTCATATCCTTCTTGATTCGTGCACCCGTGTTGATCCCTCCGTCTGGCGCTTTCTGGCTGCCAAGCTATTGGAAACGGTTGATTTTATCTACTGCTTGCCCTGATACTGTAAAGTTGAAAGGGTTGTCCATTAGAGTGATGCAAAATTTGAAATTTTCGCTCCATAGTACTTAAACGATTCCAAATCGGATCCTGACTAACCTCTCAAAATTTGAACCCATTTGGTGAGAAACTGAGATGGCACAAACCATTTGAAGTTTGTATGGGAATTATTATGGTAAAACCAAGATTTTTGTTCATGTCTATCTAATAATTCACCATATCGGTCTGCTTCAAAAGCTTTTAACTTTACTTGTAGGAAATTTTCCCTGCTACAACTTTGCTCAAGACCACTTTTTGATTAAATGCAAGTTATTAATGGTTCAATGCACTTATGTCTTATGATCATGCTCAATCAACTGCTCAGCAGGCAACATTGGTGTTTCTGGATCGTTCAATAGGACACAAAAATTATGGCTACTATGTCACACTGCAAAATACAGTGTTGCCTAGAGAGCAGCTGCTTGATCATGTCATAAGTTTACCAATCTCTTAAATAATTAATAACTATTTCCTGTCTCGTTTTACATAGCACTATTTCCTGTCTCGTTTTACATCTTCAGCAAAGTTGTAGCTGAGAAAATTTTCTATAAGAATGGCTATCGAGCTGTTTCGCAGCTCAATATGGAAAATAACTAGAAGGCAATGAACAAAAAGTTGAGATTTCCCATAGTAATTAACATGTAAACTTCAAATGGTTTGTGCGAAGTCTGTTTCTAACCAAATGAGTTGTAAATTTTGGAGGTGAATCACGACCCGATTTGAAACCATTTAAGCACTGTGGAGCGAAAAAGTCAAATTTTGCATCAGTCTATTGTCCATGTTGACATCTAACGATTGCATCCAATCAGCTGGAAACGGTCACGGTGTGCCAAATATGACATATTAATTTATGCAACATTTGTGCGGATAGCATGGGGTTAGCTTTGAGCATATGTGCTGATATGCGATCGACCCCGGGAACCTTGTAGGATTCCAGACTTCTATCTTCTACAATGATGGAGCCTCAGAGTAGACGCGAGTGATGCGCGTCTTCTCCGAGCCTGATGCCTGATGCCCTTGGCGGATGATGCCGACATGTACCGTCGAAATTTGAAGAGGTTGTTTGAAGTGTTCCAACCAACGTTTTAGCTGGTCAGTGGGGCAGTTAGCAACTGTTCAGTCGCGTCAGTCACAGGCATCCTTGGATTCATGCGTCGTTAGATATCCTAGAAGAGTCGAATATCGCTAGTGGTTGATAGTGGGAGTCCACGCACGCTCGTCCATCTCGTCTACACACATCCAGGTTGTTCGCATTCTTGATGGGCTACCATTACTCTTCTACGCTACCACCTTCCAGAACATCCACTGCTCGGGTCTCAAGTTTTTCACTGCTGGATGTGCAAGTCGGCGTATGTTGAATCAACGCGCGAGGGATCTGCCTAATGCTTAGGCGGACCTCGCCGTTTAGAAGGCGATGATAAGACGCCACGTCAGTGCTGCGCTTATTTCGGAAATCACGAAGGCTCCTCAATTTTCGCCTGCGCCGCACCATTTAAGGTTCAATTTACTTTGATGCTTTTTCGAAAAATTCAAGAGCAGTTTTTTTCGACGCGTTAGTTCAGATTGCAAAATGCTCGCACTATTCGATTCCTTTTGCTATTCTACACAAAATGACGCAAGCTTTTAGCAATCTGAAATAAGGCGTCGAAAAAAACTGCTTTTGATTTTTTCGAAAATGCATCAAAGTAAATTGAACCTTAATTAATTTTCATATCCTCGTTACGTTTATAGCTCACGGAAAATGAAATGGCAAAGAAAGAGCAAACAAAACCAATCGTTCGCTTTCGGAGAGGAGACCTACACCGCTTGCTTTCACTCACTCTGCCGAATAATTGAAAAGAGTTATACCTATTGTTGTTTATTAATTTATTTGATAAGGCTCAAAAGAAGTAACTTTACAGAGCCGAGGATTGTTGGTCACTATACAACACATCTTAAAACTATAGTCAAAAGGTACACCACAATAAACACTTTATCGTCCGCTATCCAAAAAGCCTCCTCCTCCATCAGACCTGGAGCCAATTCTAGTGGTTTCATTGTATGGTAGTTACGCCAACGGGGGTCAGAGCGCTTCCATTGCAGCAATGGACGCAAAATGTGGTCAGCACTCACACACTCATCACTAAACGGTTGCTTTTCAAAGTCGAAGACGCATCGACCGAAAGAACTGCTGATGAACAATGGTTGCTGCCGAGAAAACAGACGATCGCGTGGCACACATCGAAAGTGGCCTGCTTTTGTCGACAGCCGAGTGAACACTGAAGAGTTATATAGTTAAATTAATTTACCATCTTATGCACGAAAAATGTATAATTCACAGCGTTAAATTTGTTTTAATAATAAGTGTAACAAATGCCACTTAATATTTAAAAAAAATATTATTGTGTTGTGCATTTGTCCATTCGATCAATGCTCCTTAAAGTAAAACAAAACTAATTATTTATTATCAACTTGTACGTGGGTTCGATTGCGGATGTTATAAAAAATATTACACCAGATTGATTGGTGTCGATAAAACCAACAAGATAATTGTGCTGAATAAATGTTATTTTAATTGTTAATCGAATAACTAATAATTGTGAATTGTTTTAGTATGAGTCGTAAACAATAGTAGAACACTACTTTTTTAAATCAAGATTATCCCAAATGCAATGATCATAGTTTTATAAAGACTGTTATCTATTAATCATACAGTTAGTAGACCTATAAGTCAACTAATCAGCTCGTCAATACGTTCCACTATTATTTACTAACATCTAACCGAAACAACCAGTTGCCACCAAAAATTGTGTTCTGATAAACCAACATGATCACTAAACAAAATTGTTCTTATACGTTTTTCTCTTTGTTTGTATGTTTATTTTTTTCTTTATTTACTCACTGCGTAACCTGCGCGTTTTGTCACCACTTCTTGACCATCTCTGTAAAATTTCCCAAACAAACAAAAAACTCATCACCGCGAAACAAAATTTTCAAAATTTCACCACCTCCTGCCGCTGCCTAAATCCGAACAACAACCGTAGCTACAAGAAAACCGTCGTCTTTGACCCGAGCAAGAGCGAAACCTACCGTGCCCTGCAGGAGGGAGCTGGCGAGGGACTCCAGGAAGTGACCACGCCCGTCCAGACCCGTGCCTTCCACGGAAATCGTATGGTACCAGGCAAGGTGAGCGATCATCGGTCGGTACATTCTAAAGAATGACAATGATGACTTTAATCTATCGTTTCAGAAACCAACCGTGGCCCATCCAGCTCCCCAGCCAGAATACGCTCAGCACGTCAACTCGATGGGTGAATCGAACGAGAAGATCCACCAGAGTGGATCTTTCAAACGTTTAATGCATCACGTACTGTCGGAAACCGACTACTAGAGCACCCTCTGAGGAAGAAGTCGGATTCCGGTTTTAACCATATTATTTCTTCCTAGGTTAAGCATAAGAACAGATGAAGGAAACCTTGTTTCCTACAATTTTTTGGTTTTCTTGAGAAGAAGAATAAACGCTTTTAACTACTCTACTACTACTACTATTACTCATTTGAAACTGTCTGTTACGTTGATGAACCATAGGGCTTTAACAATTGAGCAATATCTTATGATCGAGGAAAGCATAGCAAACTATATAGTTATCCATTATTTATCAATTCTGTTGTTTGGATTACGAAATGCAGCACACTTTTAGTCTGTCACAAACGAGAGCTTCTGTAAGAAATCCTCACCGGTTGAGAAACAACCAAATGTTAGTAACGAACTCAGTGTAAATAAATCGTTTTAGGGCAACGTTGTTGAAAGGAGAAATTTTGTTGCCACTAAACTTTAACCAAAATGAATAAAAACAGAATATTTATTAGTGTTACCTACGTGCTTTATTAGTTTCAATTTTTGTTATGTTTCGAATGTTATAGCACATGTTTTCCGGTGTGCAGCCGATTTAATCGCAAGTTGTTCGGACCAACATCGGAAAAATGGGATCGAGTGCAAGTTCTAGTCAATTTTTCGATATGCTTTTCCTATCCGAAGGGAATAAAATAACACAAGAGGAGAAAGCTATCGAAATTTTAGTTTTTACTAAATCACTTCAATCGTAAGATCATCTATCACAACTTTTTTTTTAACTAGCGATCGAATTCATAACACAATTTAAATGAAAAACGTTGTGAAAACTCACGAATGAAAGAGTCAACAGGCAAATAGGCATGGTCATAGATCAGACAATGAAAGAAACGAGAATATGTGGCTCATACACACGTTTAGAGTATAAGTTAGCTTCTAGCTATGAAGGCTTTTGTGACGAGAAAGGTACCGAAATTAATTCAATAAAGGTAGAAAAACAATCGATGATTCAGGGTTTTTTTTTCCTTATTCCGAATATCGATTTCACATTCCCTAAAACCCTAACAGAAACTTCCACATTAGGATCCGATTCATTATGCAAATGATTGTAACGAAGTCCGATGTATTTTATATGATTTAAAAAGGTAACTTAGGGTGACCCCTAAAAAACAGTTTTTTTTGACATTAACTGTTCATGCATTGATTTCTTGCAAATTACTTGTTCTACACACTTGAATAACTTTTGATGGCGCATGATTTTTTGATGTATAACTACGTCTGTGATTTCTATATGGAGGTACACTTTGTAAAAACCGAAAATGGAACATGTAACAAAATTATGAAAGATTTTGAACGTTAATAACTCGGCTGCCTCTGGAAAAATTTCAATAATTTTATCACCAATCGATCAGATATATTTCTACGCATCTGTTAAATTTAAGACGCTATCATTTTTCAAAATGTCATTAGTGAAAATTGTACGAATGTGCAACTGTTGCTTATATATTTGAAATTATCACCGATTGCCTACGAAAAGCGATTTCCCTAACACAGATTTCAAAGTTGAATTCCATCCGGTCTCACCAAACGATGTTTGTTCAATCACCGCGTGATGAGTGGTGGTGTTCTCCAGTACACAACGAAAGGCTGTCCGCAAACAGCTAGCTACCAAGGATTCAGGTCCAATCACCGTGGGTGGTGGTGTCCGGTCGTCGGCATCAGCTGCAGCAGCAGCAGTACTTTCAGCGCGTTGCGTTGAACATTGTTCTCCAGTACACAACGAAAGGCTGCCTGCAAGCAGCGAGCTGCAGCCCACATGAGCATCCATAGAAGGAGGAAGAAGCCGCACCGTTATTGATCGGAATCAGTAGCTCTTCGTGAGTCGCTGTGGGCCATCTATGTCAAGCGCGTCATACTAAAGAGTATATAAACAGAGAGAACCCCGCTCAAATTCCTATTCCTATACAAAACACAAGCTCCTGCTGCAGTTAACAAATAAGATTTATTATATAAGACCACGTAGTCCTACGTCACCATTGCGTTCAACCCCATAGGGCTGTCCCTTGTAGTTTTTTTTTAAATAACTAAGTTGCTGTAACTATGTTGGAAAGTTAGCAATATTTTTTGTTGATAAACTTGCTATTTTCAAATGTTAATATCTTAAAAAGGAGCAAATGGATTTTAATGCTTTTAGTTGCATTTGAAAGCTCGTGATTTCGATCATATATAGTGTAAAAACTACGGGAGCCGTTTTTGTTTAGCTTAATTCATTAACTTTAAAAAAGAACGTATATTATCACGAAAATTTATAATAACTTTTCACATAAAAGAGGTAGCAACAAACATGAATACTAAGATGAAACTGTCGGAAGAAAAACTTTTTATTTTAGTGTCCTCTTTCACGGTCCCTTTCATCCAATGAATACCCCCCGTATTCAAGGTAATTTTGTGGTTTTGCTGCCCCCTCGGTAAAGATGAAATTCTGTGCTCTTTTTTTTTCAAAACAATCACACCAAAATCAGAGATGTCCAATTTTTTAATTACTCGATTAACAACTAATCGATTATTGTTTTGTTCGCTGTGCTGCCATTTTTCCACCAATGAGAGTGCAGCACGTTTGAAACGATCGGTGATGATCCTCTGGAGATATTAATGCTTATATCGGCATGATATAACCGATTACAAATATTTTACTTTTCGGTTCGTTAATCGATTAATCGATTATTCGAATGAAAATCGGCCATCACTAGATGAATGTGAAACGTCATTTAAATATAAGGACCGTACATAAATTATGATACAATTTGAAAGGGACCGGGGCTAATCACAAATCACGTCCCACGGTAACTGAAATAAACACGAGTGTTCACCGGTTGGTAACAACTTGGTTGGAACTACTACTCATTGTAGCAAGAAAACTGTCGGTACACGGGAAAAAATCCGATTCCATTTTCTTGAATAAAAAATCATGAAATCAAAAAACTTGCCATCCCATGAAATCATAACAATGATCAAGGAATCAAGTAATCGAAAGCAATAATGATATAATCTTCTTCTTTCTATTTCATGACAAACGGCCTTTGTAATATAGCTCACTCGGGTCGGTAGTACGAAACGACCAAATTGTTGGCAAGCTGCTTCACGAAGTAAATTCGAAGGTGATACATGTGTGCTGTTAATGGGAATTTTTGTGTCTTTTCTCGATTGTGGTCAAGCTATGTCCTCAACCATGTATATTGCAACAGAGCAGGCAAGCAATATATCATTATCGTTCTACCCAGTGCTGTTAATTTTCATATCATTCGATTGAAGAAGTACCAATACAATCATTCAATCAACTCTGGGAAAACGAATTCTCACAAGACCATAATTGAGTCACTCACTATCATTTGATATAGGACAGTGGAGTATGGAAGAAACCCAGCAAAATGGTCCCGAACAGACAAGTCGACCCGATGTCACATCAATGTAAGGCAAATTTAAGTTCGATGTCGACCCAATGTCGTGTTGTTGTCGGGTCAATTCTGGGTTTATGTCGGGTCAGCATCGGGTTGGGGTTTGGTAAAAGTCAGATTGGTGTCGGGTTGGCTTAGCTTTTTCGCTGGAATGTCGACCAGAGCTCCGTCTATGTTTAGGTTACACTCAATTGAATGATACACTAAAAAATTCCACACGTCATCATCATGTGTCTCACACTTAATTTTGCGTTTATTGTGAAACACATCCATTTCATGTGTGAATCTTATGCTATGAATCATGCCTGAACACTATGGATTTGAATTGTTTTTTTTTTTTTTTTGGTTTTTTTTTTCCGTCGATCTGGTTTTCCGTGCTGAGCACCAATGCTACCGACGTGCCAGGAAGGCAGCTCCCACACCTGGACCCTACCTATCGACCCATCAACTCATGAACCGGGGACCAACGGCTTTAATCCCCATCCGAAGGAAGGCGTGATCAGAGATGTTATGCCTCAGAACATCCCGGCGGCGCCGACTGGGATTGAACCCAGGCCTGCTGGGGTGAGAGGTAATCACGCTTACCACTACACCACCGGCGCCTTTTGGATTTGAATTGTGACACACTTGGATTCTATGTGCCTCATTTGGTGATATCAATAGCTTTGCACATCATAGTTCAATATTTTACAATATTCTACTTTATCGACTTCTACTTTACCGGCTCTAAAAATGAATCGACAAATATATAAACAAAACTGCCAGAGGCCAGAGCTTTCACATATCTTTTTAATGGGTCTGATTTGGGATTCGGTCATGGACTGTTGGGGTGTGCTGCTGCCGGAGTCTTCGTTTGATCTCACTGTTGTTCTCATATATGAGGCGAGTTGATAAGATAAAGTCACAAGTCTTGTTTTCGATGTTTACCTTTCTGAGCAAGCAACTCACATCGCATTGAAATGCAAAACACATTAAATCCATCTGTTTTGAACAGTAGTGTGATTCAATGTGCAATACACTTGAATAGATAGTGAAAGGTTTTCAACATTTGAAAATTTGAAACAATATAAATTAACGTGTATAACACATTGATCCAAGGTGAAATACACTTAAAGTAAATGTGATTGTGCATTTAAAAAATCAAGTGTTTAAACACTTCGATCAAACGTGTGGAATTTTTTGAGTGTAGGTATCTCTTGTAAGCTTTTTGCCTTCCATCTTATACAAGTACCGATAGTCTAGTGGTCAAAGTATGGATTTAATGATCGTAAGGTTCTTGGTTCGAATCCAGTATATTGCTTTATTTTATTTATTTTTTTATATGTTTTGGTTTAAAAACTAAAAGTTAAACACATGAATTTAATTCATGATTTTAACTCGGATGATTCATGATTTTGGGAATCTTGGGTGCGTTACGCAAACATAGCTCATGATGTCATGAATATTATTCATGGTTTATTTTCATAACATGAACATACGCTATGTTCATGAAATCATGAGTCATTTTTCTCATTTCGGATTTTTGATTTGTTCCAGTGTAGACGGTGAAATATCCTCGCTGTTTGATTTGCTCAAGTTTAGTAACCTCTAATTGTACTCAACCTGCCATTGTATTAAGGGCCAAAAAAGGTTTGGGTGAATCCGTGGGCAACATCGTCCACGTGCATTCCACTGGATAAATGAGAATCTCCTTCCAACAACAAGATCAGACAACCGGTCAAAAGACAGGCCATCCAACAGGAAGATGCCCCAATGAGTAGGGAGAAGAGCCCACCCTCTATTCATGCAATGTTAAAGACAGGGAGTTGGCATTTCCACTCTCGCCATTTCGCTTTAATCGGGTGCGCTGGTAGACCCTCCCTCCCTAACCCAGCATTTAGCAATTCATAAAATAATATGAATCTAAATCAATAAACAAATCAAGGGAAAAACATGAGTTCATTGTTGTCAGAAAAGTTAGCATTTTGATAAGCTTTCAAAAAACCATAAGTTTTAAAATCCTAAAAACGTTTTTTTGTTATTGAAAAATGCAACTGTACCAAACCTGTGGACTCTTGACAATCCCAAAAAAATAACTATACTTTAAATGCACCCAAAACTTCCATGGCTGCCTGACTTTTAGAACTCTTGACCAAGGAATCAAAAATATCTCCAAATGACAAAATGACAAACGATCAACGAACCGAATAATAACGCTATGTCAGAAGTGAAAAGCAATGAAAATCATCTTCATCAAATCAATCAAATCATCATCAAAACACATCTTTTTCGTTCTTTTTCATGACAAGCAGCCCGTGCGAAACAACTCATTCGGTGTGGTAGAAAGAAACGAGCAAATTGTTGGCAAGCTGCTTCACGAAGTAAAGCCGAAGATGATACACGTGTGTTAATGGGAATTTTTTTGTTATGTCTTTTCTCGATTCATATCAAGCTATGTCCTCATCCGTGTATATTGCAACAAAGCAGGCAAGCAATATATCATTATCCTTCTACCACTCGGATCGAGCTATGTTACAGAGCGAGTTTGTCATGGTAGTCGTAGCAACCGTTTTGTCTGTATCGTTGGTTGCTTTATGTGTTTGGATTCGCTGCTCTTGACTCGTTAGGAACAGCAAGAATTCTCAGAATTCAGATACTCTTCAGACTTATAGAGCTCGAGAGACATTTAAAACTACGAGAAATTCTGGTTCTCAGTAATTCCCTATTCGACAGGATCTTTGCGATTTCCAGCAACCTTTTAGAGTTTTAGAGCTATTCGAAAGTCTGAGAACTCTATGACTGCAATAGCTGAAGAACTTCACAGGCCTTATGAACGCTCAGCGTTGTCGAAGCCACTACAGACACGATTTCTAGAGCAGCATCTAAACTTAAGACTTCAGGTAAGGCTGGACCCGATGGAGTTCCGTCGATTATTTTTAAAAAGAACATCACTTGTCTTTTCATTAAAAGGGAAGCAAACGTGACGTAAACAACTACCGGGGAATCACGTCGCTGAGTGCTGTATCAAAACTTTTTGAATTGGTTGTCATAGAGTCCCTAAATGCGCATTTCAAGCCATATCTAAGTATAGATCAACAAGGATTCATAACTGGGCGTTCCACAACTACGAACCTGCTGTGCCTAACGTCTTACATCACAGACAGTTTGATTGCTCGGACCCAAACGGACATTATCTACACAGATTTTACGACAGCCTTCGATAAGCTGAACCACGAAATTGCGATCACTAAGCTTGATAGGCTAGGGATCGGTGGAAATCTTTTGACATGGTTTCGTTCATACCTCACGGAGTGCCAACTGACAGTAATTTTGGGTACTTGTCGCTCAGCAAGCTTCTGCTCTAAGTCCGGTATACCTCAGGGTACCCGAGCAAAGTCGGTTAACAAAATGAAAGCAAATCGATATTAAAGTGTGCAGTTCCTATCATAATGAAAACTCATTTTGATTTCAATTGTTGCGACATAAGTCTGATATCATATTATGCTTTCATTATGCAGTCAAGACTTTTTAAATGAAATCAACTTAACTTGAAGTTCTGCTGTTTACGTCTTGTTTAAAATTTAATTGAAATTTATCTGTCCTTGAACTAATGATTATTGTTTATTTGATTTGTTTAACACATTTTAGGTCATTCGTGACTTGTCCGGGGTGAGATTGGAGCCCAAGTCTTTCAGCTTGAGAAACATGAATGGTAACCATTTACTCCAGGCCCGTATTCAGTTAAACATTATGTATGCAAAATCAGTAATCAAATTGATTTCATTGAAAGCAGGATTAGTTTTCCGTTTGCTTCAACAGTGTAAAATTTTGCTCTCATTTTTGCTGTGTGAGATCAACTGGAGTATTCAAAATAAGTTACATCATAACAGTTAATTTTGATTTCAATTTGATCTTTAGCTTTGCTCGGGTAGCCATCAGGGACCATTGGTATTTCTCCTTTACTTCGACGACGTTCACCATGTTATCACAGGGCCACGATTATCGTTTGCAGACGATCTGGGTGTTTTTCTGCGCATCCGCTCACTCGCCGACTGCCGTTCTCTCCAAAATCAGATTGACATCTTTGCTGACTGGTGTAATCTAAACCGACTGGTGGTCATCCCAGCTAAGTGTACAATCATTACTTTCTCACGCAAGAAACAACCGATTATTTTCAACTACATATGGCACGACTATCGAACGGGTGCATTGCGTGAAAGACTTAGGCGTTGTTCTGGACTCAAAGCTGACATACTCACACCATATATCGTATGTCGTCGACAAAGCGTCCAGAACTCTTGGCTTTGTCTTCGAGATTACTAAGAACTTCACATACATTTACTGCTTAAAATCGCTCTATTGTTCTCTCGTACTATCTACGTTGGAATAATGCTCTGCAGTCTGGAGCCCGAACAACAACAATGGGGCCGAGCGAATTGAATCTGTGCAACGACGTTTTCTTCGCTTCGCGCTCCGTAAGCTGCCTTGGAGATACCCACTTCGTCTTCCAAGCTACGAGATTCGCTGCCAATTGATCGATGTCGAGCCCTTACGTATCCGAAGAGGTGTTTTCAGAGCCTTAACCGTCGCCGATTCTCTGCAAGGACGAATCGACTGCGCCGCAATTCTGCAACAATTGAACATTAATGTTCAACCTCGATCACTACGCAACTGTCTTATGCTGAGACTTCCACTTCTTCGAACTAATTATAGCTTAGGTAGCGCTATTTACGGCTTGCAGCGAGTGTTCAACCGAGTAGCGCCGATGTTCGATTTCCACTTGACACGGAATATGCTTCGCCGAAGATTCTCTGCCTTTTTTGCTGACCGAAGGCCCTTGACGCCCAACAGCTAAGTGTAAAATTTAAGAATTATGCATTTTTAGTAACTTGACAATGCCTTCCTAGTTATTTTCGTTTGTAACTGTAGTATATGTAGCCTGTATAATCTGTACTCTTTTTTACAACACATCATTGGGACTATTTTTAGTCTGTTGATGCAAACATAACAAATAAACAAACTGCAAGAACTCCTTTAGCTCGGACAAACAGTTCTTGAGAATTTTAAGAAATGCCGATTCTGTAGGTTTTATTCTACACAAAAAATGCATTTCAAGCAGGGAGGCCAGGCCAGTGAGTAATCATTTTGAAATTAAGTTAAAAACGAAAGTTGTCAAAGATTATATATTTTTTTTAAATCGTGACAAATCGCCTGCAAAGTTTCGTTATTTGTGGTACCAAAAACAGGAAGCATTTTTTTTAAGTTGAGAGTATATTCCACTAAATGGGTCACTTGATATATTCAGAAATGAACCTTTAATCATAACGATGATGTTTTGATCAATGTATATACGTTGTACAGTCATCCTACAATTAAGGGTCAACTAATAATTATTATGAATCAGTCAGTCCAGTGTGTTAGCAAACTGGAAGCTATCGATAGCTGGAATGTGATAAGGTTTAGAAAAGCCACGCTCCAGACCTCATGTTTTCAAACACCAGAATTTACATTTTTTATGGTCACAAGACCGAACACTAAGCTAAAATCTAAAGAAGAATTCTGACGTAATTTACTTAGAAACCTGTCTATTGGTAAACGATCGTTGTTGTCTGGGGAGTGGAAATTGGTGCAAAAGTAAAAGAAAACGTGCTTTTTTATGCTTTTCACCGTGTTACCGCCGAGTAAGTTTGTAAACAATAGTGGCTTAGATAGTATTTCTCTTATATGTTTTACAAACATCAAGCCAGTCAAAAGAACGACTGTGACGTCTGTGCTAATTCCGACAAGTTGGTTCAGTAAATATCAGAATATTATTACATAAGAAAACGGATTGCGTGAGAAAAGACACAATAATACACACCTTAAAATTTACATGAACATAAAAAAGAACACAACATTACAATAATAATCAAGTTTTTAATTCGCATAACATCACTGTTGGATAATACATGACATAATTCATATAATCTATCTGATTCCAGTATCCCTAACTCATTGTAAACAATCTGGACGGCCCTCTGTTCAATGGGAACTGTGGTACCGGTTGTAATGGCGGTGCTGAGTCTGCCAGAAATCCCATATACCTGTTCATAACACATTTCGATGGGTGCACGCACACATTAAAGGCATTCCGTACGTAGCCTAGTTTACAGGTGCAACCAATTCTGCATCCCGGGATGCACGGCATAACGTTCTGCCGGAAGAAACGTGGACAGCACTGTTGACAATTGGCCGTTGGACCACAGAAACGAAACACTTCGTTCTCACCGCATAGATCTGAAATGATGAAGTGTGATCAAATGGAACTTCGTTATGGGAATCACATTACCACTTAACCGTGAGCTTGTGAAGGCAAATGTTGCCGCAAAGGAAAACACCACCAGCAAATGTTTCATAGTTTACAAATTTTGAACACTGTTCCAAAAAATGTTAGGTAATTTCTTATACCGAAGAACAATTTACTTCTAGCCGCCAGCATTGGTTTAATGTTACTAACTCGGCTCTAATGCAAACGGTGTCGGCAGACGGCAACACTCACAAAGTTTCATCAAGCTTTATTGTTTATATTTGCTTTCTATGCGAAATCACGTAGTGATATTGTTCGCGCTTAGACGACAAAAACATCGGTAAGACTTCACCACTAGTACAACTAATAATTGTTTCCTTAAAGTTACATAAACTGAATCAGTATCAGTAAATGTCACTCGAATAAACTACCCCTTAACGCATAACAGTCCCATTAGAATATGAAATCAAGCAAAGGTGTGACTGTTATGCTATTATGGGCAGTAAACATATGCAAATCCAAATTTTCCTAAATAATTTATTAGTTTTCAGTAACACAATGATAAGGTAACTTTAACTATAAGGTAAAAAAAAAAATCAGTTCTAAAATACAAATATCGACTAGTAGCCATCAGATCTTACACAGTAAGTAACTAAATAAACGGACACCGCAGACTAGCTCACATGTTGAATGGTGTCGCCAGGCCACTGCCGATGGCCAAGGCTTTCTTGCTTATTTTCTGATTGATAAACCTTGAATACAGCGAACCGCCCGGGTTTCGCCTCGTCGGTCCCCGAGGAATATGATACGTATTCTAGAACCAACAACCAATTAACTGAGATTTCAGTATATACAACTAATGCGGTTTACCTTATTCTCGTGCGGAAACAGTGTCGTGATGCATCGGGAATAATTCTCCAACTGTAGTGCGGTAATCTTAGTATCGTACTCCATGTGATAATCGATCACAATCGCCGTCAGTTGACTTTGAAATGACTTTTCTAAACTGCCCAACTCCCCGGAGTGCAGAATCAACCTTCCTACGCTACAACTATTGAGTATATCCTTCAGAACCTCTACCGTCATTGGCCAAGTGAAGTTCTTATAGGAAATGTTAGGTACTGCTTTGTGAGACTTGTAAGTCTCAGCCATGATGGCACTATTCATCGTAGGTTCACTGCTACCGGTGTTTGGATACTTAATCAGTCGCGTTGCTGATATAGCATCCAGCTGGTCACCCGATCGCTTCCGGTAGGAAATCATCCGTAAGCTTCTCATCGGCAATCCTATGTCTATGCGCCACGATATGAGCGCCTCTCTGAAGTGAATCTTTGGCCCTAGTGGGCGTCCATCGAACAGAACATCAACGTCCTCGAAGCGCATCTTTTTCAAACATTCAACATCAATTTGCTGGGCTGCGAACAAATTTACACCATCAACATTTTTCATCAACAAATTACGAAAAACCATAGAAGGTAAATCACCTTCCAAAAGTGCCACAGTTTCCTCGCAAAGTCCTAATCGATTTAGACAAAGCGATCGTAGATCGCTATCACCCTGCGACAGATGACTGTTGGCGATTCCATTCAGGAGATCAGTTTCTTCGACGGCATAGAAAGGTTCACTTTTGATAATCAAATGGTCTAGCTTTTCTACCATTATCGAACTGGGATGAAAATTTTGCATTCGTTCTACTTGCCACCGATGCTGTTGCTGATGCTGATGCTGCTAACTAACAAACTAAAACCAACTAATACTAAAAAAAAGTGGAAACCGTCAAACTAATGCATCGGGATGGAAAATATAAACAAAGTACAACGTTATAGCATGAAAGGAAGGATATACAACATTAGGAAGAATGTGTTTGTGGTGTTTGTAGATTATTTAAGCAAGGAGCAATGACGTCAGAAGATGGGACTCTATACAATTATCTTTATAAGTGGCTTACAAGTGGATAGTTCGTTAAGCTACGTTGCATACTCTAATGGGGTGACATTCACTACATATCTTAGAGGAAAACGATCCACACTTCATAACTGATAGAATTTGAAACACTCCAACGAATGGGGGAAAACCTTCTGTTTTCCTCAAAGACTACGTTTGTCATTAACTCGGTAATTACAGAAATATTTTGAAACTTAACTGGGGATTTCCTTCCTAGATTCGCATAAAGGGATTCTTTTTTATTATCGGACAGATTTAGGCCGAAGGGTATCAGAATTTTATGCAGGGCTGGTGGTAGCGATCAATGCTGTCAAAAATAGTGATTTGGTCACTAAAATGTTGAAAAAATAATTGATCAAATAGTGACTTATAAAAATATGACGAAAAAGTGACCTAAGAGAAGAACGACTACTTTGATGGCATCTCAAAAACACTCATGTACGACATGAACTCTGAAAGCGAAAGATTCAATTGAAAGTTAATTTATCTAACCTGTAAAAATCTGGAAAACCATTTATTGGAATTTTATTTTTCCTGAAAATATCTGGAAGTCTCAGGGAATTTAATAATTTTATTACTAAAGATATTTTATAGAAAATAATGCATTATAATATACAAACATTTAATTTTCTTCGTTATTTTCATTCACACATTTAAGTTTAAACATCCAGAGTGGATTAATCTTGAGTAACAAATAAATATTAAAAAAAAATCAGAAGCTTAAAATATTTTTGTTTTGTTCTGGAATATGCACACTTATTATTTAGGCATGTTTTTGAAATTCTGTTATAAAAAAAGTTATAATACTTCTAGAAATTTTGAAATTTTCTTGCACCTTGGAATGGAATTTTATAATAATTTCTAAGGATCTCAATTCAAATCTTTAAGAAAAATGCCAACTGAAATCTGTTTTCCAGTTCTGAGTAATTTTAGATTTCATGTGAAGCCTGAGGTAGTTTTGAGTAGAGAGGGTCTAGTATAAGAGAGGAGCGGATTCAAAACAAACTGCATTGGCAACCTATGCGTAGGTGATTTCTAGCAACACTGCCAATGCAATCACGATAGGCGCTGCTCGATTGGCTCTGGCTTTGACAGTTCGTTTGAGTAGAGAGGGTCTAGTATAAAAGAGGAGCGGGTTGGCTCGTTTTGACCCAAACGAAGTGTCAAAGCCACAACCAATCGAGCAACTTCTATCTTGATTTCATTGGCAGTATTGCTAGAAACCGCCTAGGCATAAGTTGCCAAGGCAGTTTGTTTTGAATCCGCTGCTCGCTTCTACTTATACCCTCTCTAGTTTTGAGTAGAATTTCAAGAAACCCCTGAATCGGATTGAATTAAAATTAAATTTTAGTGAAAGCTCATAGGAATTTCTGAGAAGCAGACTCCTGTGAACTTCCAATGGCATTCTGAGTATAATTTCATGAAGTTTGTGGGAAAAAACGAATCCAGAGCATAAATCCTTGGAATTTGTTGGAGAATACTTAGGATGTGTGGGAGATGCTAAAAGGAGGCTTACAATTAAATGTGTGAATAACTCCAGGAAATCTTCAAAGAAATTCAAAAAAGAATTCCACGAGAGTTTGCCAAACAAATTATGAGGAGAAATCTAAGGAATTTGTGACGAGAAACGTAAAAGAATTGAGACTTTCAATGTGAATAGAATTCCTAGGGAATTAGTAAAATTCAAAAGGAAATCTGAAATGAAGTCAACGAAAATTCTGAGAATCGTTCCAAAGGGTTTCTTCCTGAAGGTAATTCCGAGGAAAATCCAAAGAAAATTGAATTCGGATGATAGTTCCTACGAAATTTTGAGGAATATGTCAATGGAATTGCGAGAAGTATACTAAGTAAATACCGGTGATATTTTTTAGAGAATTCATAGAAGCGTTCCAAGTGTATTTCTAGAATGTCTCAGCGAATGCTGAGGAGAACTCCAAGTGAATTTTCATGAGAAATCTCTGTTGAATATGGAACGGACTATTCTGAGGTCTTCAGAACTACTTGAAAGTTCCCAAAATTTTCCCGAAGTTAATGAAACTATCTTGAAGTCTTTTATAGTTTGAGAAACTAGCCTGATGCTCACAATAATTCTCATCAAATTTGTAAACTTTCCTGAACTTTTTCGGACTTCCTAAAGTTTTCATAATTTTTTAATTAATTTTTTTTCTAACGATCGTGGACCTTCTCTAAAGTTTTAAAAATTCGCTGAAGTTCTCGAAACTTCTCCAAAATAATTTCCCTAATGTTAACGGAACTGCTCTGAGGTTCTCTGTTCTTTCTTGAAGTTCTCGAAAATGTTTGCAGCCTGGATTTAATTTAACTGTCCTAAACATGTTTACGCTTCCGTGAACTTCTAAACTTATAGGAAGACCTCAATGATTTTCTTAAAATCACTAAACTGCCGGTAACCGAAAGTCAGTCCCATCTGTATTTTTTTTTGAGTTAGCATGATTATTCAGTAGGATCTTTATATGTTTTTTTACTGTGCTATTTAAATTTTTTTGTTAAAAAAGAAATAAAAACCATACCAAATCGAATTGTTCTAAAGCGAAAAATAACTACAAGTCAGTCCCATTAGGAAAAAATATATGATTTCATTAAATAAACTAGAAAACAACGTCCCAGCTATAAAAAGGTTATCTTTCATTCAATTTCACTTAATAAATTTTGGTATCCATGACTTATCAAAAACCTAAACCTAATCCTTGTCAACCCCCTTAAGCAACCCAATTTCGTTACTTCATTATGATGGCTACCAAGCCTTTGGGATTTTTTTCTAATTAGAGATTTGAATAGATTTTTCTCCTATACTTTACTTAAAAGCCTTGGTTATTATTAGTTATGTAGGTTCCGATTCTACACGTTGTAGTTTCATTTTTAGTGATCTTGACATTTTTACCTAGGGGATGAGTATTTGAGGTGAAAGTGGATCGGTTTAGAATGACTAACTTCATCGATTTTTTACAAAATAACGCAGCGCTCAATCGAAAAAAATCTTCCGTGCAAAGAACTAAACTCGCTATCTCTAGCAATGTTTACAAGATCGATTTATTTTGGAGGCGAACCAGCCCCAGGCTGAAAGCCTCCCTAATAAAGATAAATTAATTAATTAAGATCGATTTATTGTTTAAATTTTCTGTAAACCATTTTCTAAGTTCAATTTTAGGACCACAAGCATAGTGGTTGCTAACTTTGCTCATCAATTACACAAGTATTTCGTATGAAATGTCACATTTCACTCCCGTAGATCGTTTCAAAATATTGTTAGGAACAGTTCCTCCGAAGACAACATACCTGTAAAATGCATTATTTCAATGCAAACCATTTTTTGTAACGCAATTCCAAGCATTAGATTTCGTTTTCCCAAGCAATCAACTGGCTTTGCATTTATCTGTGCGTAAACATGCTCCAAATTGAAGAACAATAGGGGTATTCACAAAGCGCATCGTAAACGTATACACCTTCGTAAATGTGTAAACTTCCATTACACTCCAATTGACCCTGGTATTTTTACGATAGTGTATATGTTTACAATGCGCATAGTGAATACCCCTAATGTGATTTGGAACGCTTGCACAAAACAAAGAAACGAAAAAAAAAGCCACACGACTAGGCGATCCATGAATGAATTAGCAAGAAAAATCATAAGCACCGTCAGCAGGATCAAGCTCGCGCGTGACGTTTTCCATTCGCATTAATTGATGCATATTGTAAGATATCTTTTGGTATTTCAATTCGAAATATTTTGCGAAAATTATCGATAATTGAAAACGGATGCTATTCAGCAATGTCATCTATGCGTTATTGCAAGAACTCCATTAAAGGGTGATACGGTCAAAATTTGGTCAAGGGAAAACGCGTGTAAATCGGGGAAATCGTTTATTTAAAAAATCAAATTAAATTTCTTTTTCAAGTTCAATTAGTATAAAATTCAGGAAAAATATTCAGTTAGGCTTCCGCTTTTCCAAATCCGAATTGCCGGGCCTTACGCTTGACCCCTGCCATCAGATTTTGTACAGCCACCTTATCCACCTTCTTCGCCGCAGAAAGCCAGTTTGCCTTGAACTGCTGCTCGCCCTTAGCAGTTTTTTGGTCTTCTTTAGGTTCCGCTTGACAATAGCCCAGTATTTCTCAATTGGGCGGAGCTCTGGCGTGTTGGGAGGGTTCTTGTCCTTGGGAACCACCTGCACGTTGTTGGCGGCGTACCACTCCATGGCCTTTTTACCGTAATGGCAAGATGCCAAATCCGGCCAAAACAGTACGGAACAACCGTGTTTCTTCAGGAAAGGCAGCAGACGTTTATTCAAACACTCTTTCACGTAAATTTCTTGGTTGACAGTCCCGGAAGCTATGAAAATTCTGCTTTTCAAGCCACAGGTACAGATGGCTTGCCAACCAGATATTTCTTTGCGAACTTTGACAGTTTCATGTGCTTGAAAACATCTGCTACCTTTCCCCTTTCTTTTGCCGTATAAAACTCCTGTCCCGGAAGCTGCTTGTAGTCGGCTTTGACGTAGGTTTCGTCGTCCATTACCACGCAGTCAAACTTCGTCAGCATCGTCGTGTACAGCCTCCGGGATCGCGCTTTGGCCGTCGTATTTTGTTTATCATCGCGATTTGGAGTCACTACCTTCTTGTAAGTCGATAGTCCGGCTCGTTTTTTGGCTCGATGCACGGTTGTAGACGATACACCCAGCTTATTTGCGGCATCTCGGAGAGAGAGGTTAGGGTTTCGCTTGAAACTACCGGCAACTCTCTTTGTCGTCTCAGCGGCTTCCGGTTTTCGATTTCCCCCCGATCCAGACTTCCTGG